ATATAATATTTATTTATTTTTGAGATGGAGTCTTGCCCTGTCATCAGGCTGGTGTGCAGTGGCACCATCATGGCTCACTCCAAACTCCACCTCCCAGGTTCAAGCAATTCTCCTGCCTTAGCCTCCCAAATAGCTGGGTCTACAGGTGTGTGCCACCATACCCAGCTAATTTTTGTATTTTTCAGTTGAGATGGGGTTTCACCATATGGGCCAGGATGGTCTTGATCTCTAGACCTCATGATCTGCTCACCTCGGCCCCCCAAAATGCTGGAACTACAGGTGTGAGCCACCACGCCTGGCAGAGATAGGGTATATTAGGAGGTAGTAATTAGTATAGGATTTGCTGCTGTCTGATGATCAAACATGGAGTTCATTGGCTCTAGTAAAATAATAAATCATGTCTATTTTTCTATTTTGCCACTAACACATATTTTAAAAATCTTCTTGCTGTGCCAGTGTTCCTCAACAAAAGGCACAGCTCATATCTGTATTAAACTGAAATTTAAAATGTTAATAACACCAATATAGGCTAGTGACTTATTGATTAAACTGAGTATTTGGCAAAGCTTGAGCACTGTTATTGTAGCTTTACCCAAAAGAGAGAAATGTCTGGGAAGAAATTTACCGAGTAGAAAAAAAGTGCTAAGAAAGGATTCTATACATGTCACACCATAAAAATAACATTGACTTTGAGGAGCAGGAAGGACAAGCTCTTGGCAGAGAGGTAGACATCTTTTCATCTGTCCCTAAACTACACTCTGATCAGCCAATGCAAGGTGGGTAGCTATGAGGTTTGTTTGTTTTTAAATCACTTTTTTCTGAGTAAAATCAAGGGCACAAAGGGGAAAGTGTGTTGAGAATTGAATTTATTAACTGATTTTCTGCTTAAAATAAAATAACTACCATATTCTCCTTCTAGAGAACTCTCTTTTTCCAAGTCTTGCTGTTCTTCATGCTTCCCTTCTCATGGACTCTGCTTTACTTTATTAACTTACTTTCTGAATCCATATTTGAAATGGAGGCTTCTGTGTCTTTTTAAATTTGAAGTGAACATGCTCTGTTTTAAAGACTCAAACCACTTCTGTGGCTCCTTTCTCAATGCGCACAACATTTAAGCACATCTCTGACTGGTGTTCTACAGCTCCTAGGTGTTCTGAAGTTCCTCCTACAGCCCTGTTGGCTGTGCACTCTGGCAAACAAAGATGAAGAGCTCAACAGTTTGAATGGCTTGTCTAGTGTCAGAAGGTAATCAGAATTAATAACAGACTGAATATAACCCACAACAGCCCAGCCACAGCCCGAGGCTCTGATTCTGAATTTATACCTCTTCATTTACTGTGACATGCATGGTTTTGAATTCTGTCAGGGGAAACACTTTTATTATATTTTCCATTGCAAAATAATCTTCTACTGTGATTTCCTTCTCAATACATTTCTGGAAATGCAGTAGCAATACTTAGAAATACTCCCTTAGAGAAACAATATGCATATATTAATATAAGTAAGAAGCATATTTTCTGCAAATATATCTATTTTAGATTGTGCCAGTTTGCTAGGGGAGAACTTTGTGTTTCACAAGGCATTTGTGTACTCTTAAAAAGGAAAATTGTTGATATTTTCCTTCCAATATGCTTATCTTTAAAGATTTATAACATAAAATATGCTCTGTGTGACATGTACTTATTCAAACTATTTGTATTTCATATAATTCCAAAAGGAATTTTACCTATCTTTTTCAGGTTTCTGTTAAGACAAATGTGGTTTACCCTTACGAAAAGAAACACTTTAACTGTAAAAGTACTCACTGAGTAAGAGTAACAAGCATTAAATAATCTGTTACACATTATCTCTTTTTTTGGTCAACAATGAAACAAAAATGACTATCAAACATAAAGTATTAATATCTAACACATACTGAGTCCAAAAAGTGTTCACTCAATGAATAGGTGAACAAATGAATAAGTATACTTACTTTACAACAGGAGAAACTAAGGTCAAAAGAAAGGTGTTAGCCACAATCTAGTATACTATAATCGAACTAAAAACTATCTAACCATCTAATTAAAAGTTTCTTTTCCCTTGTTTTATTTAGATGACAAATGAAAGCTTTAATACTGAACATTTTGAAAGAGAAACCTGAGAATAATGGCTTCTGGGGAGAAAAGCTTCAGATTAAAATTTCAGAATAATAAGGAGAATAATAAAGAGAAAAGTAATTTTACCCAAACACCACTTCGCCTTTTTTTTACTCTTGAGCGGAAGAGTTTCAAATAACCATTTAAATACTATGAAGTTAAAGAATTTTCTCAATTACAAATAAATTGTGCTTAAGGGAAACCTGGAAACTTTAGTAAGGTTCTAAGTTTTGAAATTATGTGTGCTGCCTTACTTGTATTTTCTTTTTTTTTTTAAGTTTATATAATGAATCATTTAATTTTTAATTCATTTGGAATATATTTTGGGGTGGGGTATAATATAAAAGTTCTACATTTCTACTACATTTCAAGCAGTTGATAAATCAGCAATAGCTCTTGAATTATTTTTCATTTTATGTGAAATGCTAACCTTATACATTTATAAAAAACATACACACATGTACACACATACATATTTGTCCAGATATATATGTATGTATATATATATATATATATATGCGCACATGTACAGTTGATACTTGAACAACACATGAGTTAGGGGTGCTAGCCACTGGCACAGTCAGAACCCCACATATAACTGTTGACTTCCTCAAAACTGAACTATTCATAGCCTATTGTTGACCAAAAGTCTTATTGATAAAATAAACAATTGGTTACACATATTTTCTATGTTATATGTATTATACACTATATTCTTACAATAAAGTTAGCTAGAGAAAAGAAAATGTTAAGAAAATCATAAAAGAGAGAACACATATTTACCTTACTTGTATTTTCTAAATGACTCCTCCAAGTGGGAAATAAATACAGTGATACAATTATGTCTTGAACTGTCAACCAACGCCACAGTTATAGTCTAATAAACTGTATTTTATGGTACACAGGTTCAATATTCACTTTTCCTCCTTCTTTGTAACAGAACTTTGAGAAATGTGCCAAATTTAAAAAAAGGAAAACTCATTTTGCAGCTTTCTTTGCAGAAAGTGCAATGAGACCAATGGGAGTTTTTATGCCAAGCTTCTGGGCGAGCCCTTTTACCCTCTCTTTCCTTTCCTTCTAACTGAAACACAGTTCTGATGCCTGGCATCCAACCACCACCTTGAACTACTGCGGAGAACCTGAGGATAGAATTCATGCACTAAAATGGCTGGAGAGGAAAGAGGGATGAGCCTCAATCTAAGGACGGTGGAGCTGCCATTCCAACTGTTGTCCACCTACCTTCTATCTTCATTTACTCCGGAGACAATTAAAGTATAACTTAATTGATTAAACCATGTTATTTGAGTTTTCTCTTACATACAACTAAACCTAGTCACAATTAAGATAGCCATGTTATAGATATGAGACTTTTAGTAACTCATTTTTCTGTACCTCAGTTTACTCAACTGTAAAAAATAGACACCACAGTATTGACTCAGAGAGCTGTTTAAGGATTAATTAATATATGTAAAGAGCTTAGAATTGCAGCTAACACAGACTGAAAGCTCAATGAGTCTGCTATCATGGCTATTCACCTGTACCACCTGCAGTATCCACAGAATAAATGAGAAAAGGAGTATGAAGAGGAGACATCACATTTATTTCCTGCCATCTTCTTCAGAGACAAGAGACCTGGGTAAAGAGTGTAACAGAACACAGAACACATCATATTTCTCAATTAAAACCACTTTACAGATTACAAGTCATTCCATAGATACCCGAGTTGTTCTAATCCTTACTAGAGCTCTGAGATACGGGTCAATGTTGAGGCTTGCTTGAGTTGACAGGTAATTTGCTGGCTGGCTCAAGAGCTGGAGTCCCAAGTTCACTGATCCATTAAAGGCCAAGTTGGCTTGGTTCTAGTTCATGACCCTAGACAGTACAGTATACTTAGCTTTAGTTAATTGTCCTCTGAATAGAATTCTAAATTTAAATCGTGTGGGAGAAGACTTGAGGAGGTCTAAGCCTTGCTCCTGAGAAACTCCAGGCATCTGCCATCTCCTGCTGTGATTGGCCCCACCTGCCAGCAGGCGTGTGCGGGTTGTAACTAAGCCCTTTTGTTTTTTAAAGGGAAATTTTCTGAATTTTTTCAAGAAATCTAATTGCCCCCCTCCCCCGCCCCCCGCCCCGCTAATTTGTTTAAAAGCCTTCTGAGCCTTTGGGTCTCACCTTTAGGATGACTCCCCAGTGAGCTCTGCTCACCTCTTCCTGTAATAATGATAACAGCTAATATTTTTTAAGCACTCATTATTCGCGAGGCACCTCATATCATAAGTACTACTGTATTTAACTTTTAGAAATAATCACCCTGAGGCACAAACAGTGTAGTGACCTGCCCAAAGTCACTAGGAGAGGTGGTGGCAGAGCCAGGTGAGAGCCCATGGTCCTAGCCACCACTCATTACTCTTGTCTCATATTTAAAAACTCCACTATCTGCCTTCACTTTTCAAGCCTCAACCACTCAGAGGGCCTGGGTGTGTTTCTTTGCTCAGGTGCCTTTGATTGTGGTCATATGTGAATTACTTGTTATTCCACATGCCAGTCTTTCATTACTCACAAAAGATAATAAACTCCCTTAGGTGATGTCTTCCACTGCATTAGCTACCCAGGTTGTTCTGTCTTCCATGCCAGAGGCTTATTGCTTTTGGTGTGTCCTTCCTTCATCTCAGCTCACTATCGAAAGCTGGGGAGAGCCTATGGCTTGTGACTCCAAGGCCAGCTCTCCAGGGCTTTTACTTCTGTAACCTTCCTCCCCTAAACCCATAACCATAGTCTAATATAAGAAAAACTTCAAACAAGTCCCAGTTGAGAGGCATCCTACAAAATATCTGACCAGTACTCCTTAAAACTGTCACAGTCATCAAGAACAAGGAAAGTCTGAGAAAGTGTCACCACCAAAAAGAGACATCAGAATTATTCGTAACGTAGTATCCTGGATGGGATCCTGGAACAGAAAAAGGACACCAGGTAAAACCTAAGGAAACCTGAATATAGTTAATAATAATGCATCAGTATTGACTCATTAATTGTGGCAAATGTATCATGCTAATGTAAGATGTTAATGAAAGGGGAAACTGGTATAGAATATTTGGGAACTCTTGTATTATAGTTGCAATTTTTCTTTAAATCTAAAACTTTTCTAAATTAATTATTTTTTTAAAAAGTCGAGGCCATGTAGTAAAGTCCTGTCCTATTTGTGAGATTCTACTGGGCTGGCTAATATACTGTCTTCTTTATAGAAACCTTGAACCAAATATCTCCTTCTCTCCTCTGAAGAGTTATAGACAGGGATATAAGTTTTTATTGTTCCTACTGATCCAGGTGGTAACTTTTATGATTCCTGTGTTATACAGTAATGAAATCTGGCATAGGGAATGGCTTATTAAAGGTCACCAGAATGACAGCATAGCTAGGTGTGGAGCCTTGGGTGGTACCTGTCCCAGTGCCATTCCAGGCTGGGCAGGAAAACTGGCTCAGATGAATTCAATTCCACTCAATTCAACAACTGTTAACTAGCACCTACTATGCATTGTAAGCACTGGGAAGCTATTAAGTTTGTGCAAAAGTAATTGCAGCTCAATTAGGTGCCAACCTAATAAAACTGAAAAAAGATTCTGTTTTGTGCTCAAGGACAGTGTGGTGTAATTGGGGAGAGACAAATATATCAATAGACAATTTCATTTCAAGAAGTTAAGTATCATGCCAGATGTGTGAAAGGTGTTGAGGGAGCTTGGGAGGAAAAGATACCTCACCAGGCAGGAGGTAGACATTTAGCCCTAGGAAAAAAGTCTCAGCCTGAAGTGCAGGTGAATCCTGGTTAGGGGAAAATATGTTCTGGTTCTGTAGGGGCTCTGCTATGTCTTATTTCTTAAGCCTTGAGGGCTCTTCTGAAGGGTTTACTCAATAGCAGTAGTGGGACTACATTAAAGCCAGTTTTTCTGGCAGAGCATTAATCTTACTTTCAGTGGCTTAAGTTTTGTGAGAACATGAAAGTGCTTTGATATATACGAGTAGCAAAATCATGGTTCAAATAACTTGGGTTACTCTTTTGTCTCTGTGGTATGAATGGGGAAGGGAGATTTGTAAAGGATTTCGTGGACTGTAAAATATGCTGGCACTCCTAGGAGGGCGGTAACGGCCCTGAATTTTCTGTTTATGCCTTTAGGAGTGATTAGCTAATTAGGACAATGGAAATTAATGCTATTTTCTTATACCCTTTGACAGTAAGGCATAGGCAATTTTTTCCTTAGGCTGTGAACCAGATCTGGGAGACACTTACAGGGCCCCTTTCCATTTCGAGCCACATTCTCGTTAGACCTCTAGGTCTCAGTTTGAGGTACTGTTCAAAGCCCATTTTGCAAACATGAGAGACTTTTCTTTCCTTTTAGTAGTAAGTCACTGCTTTAGAGAAACAATTTCTGATATGGAGGTTCCATATCAATTGTCTGTGCAGTCTAAATGTTTTTCCATATATTTTGAAATTATTTGCTCTCTTTCCATACCATTCTCTGAGGGATGAAGAGCAGCCAGGGGTTGGGTCCTCTTCTTCTGCTTGCTGTCAGCATCACCTCCCCTTCCTTCATCCTAGAAGGTCCTTCCATCAAAGGCAAATGTGCACAACATATCCTGAGACAGTTAACATCCTTCCCTTCAAATCCACTTTCCGAAGCTATGAAGAGTAAAGAAACTATTTGCTTGGCTTTACTCAGCACCTTGTGTCTCACAGACTGCAATTCTTTGGTAAATTACATCAGTAATTGTTTAGCCATCAGGGAAAACTGGTCATTTATAACATATTCCTTTTCTGAGTCTTCCTAACACAACAGAAAGGTCCTTAGTGTTCAGATGAGCATTTAAAAAGTGGTATCTGGAGGTAAGTTTACAATGCTTGGGGAAGAAAAAGGATTTACCATGATCCAGAATGCTGAGGCAGGAGGAGCACTTGAGCACAGGAGTTCGAGGTTTGATCTGGAGGAGATCGAGGTGAGCTATGATCATGCCACTGCACTTCAGCTTGGGACAGCAGAGCAAGACCCTGTACCCTGTCTCAAAAAAAAAAAAAAAAACAAAAAAACAAACAACACAATGCAAGAACATGATTTTTGTTTTGTTTTGTTTTGTTTTGTTTTAGACAGAGTTTGTTTCACTCTTGTTGCCCAGGCTGGAGTGCAGTGGTGCAATCTTGGTTCACCGCAATCTCCGCCTCCTGGTTTCAAGCGATTCTCCTGCCTCAAGCCTCCGGAGTAGCTGGGATTACAGGCATGCGCCACCGCATCCGACTAATTTTGTATTTTTAGAAGAGATGGGGTTACTTCGTGTTGACCAGGTTGGTCACTAACTCTCAACCTCAGGTGATCCGCCCACCTCGGCCTCCAAAAATGCTGTGATTACAGGTGTGAGCCCCTGCACCTGGCCAAGAACATGATTTTTAAAGTGGACATAGAACAGCTAGGAATTAGAACTTTTTAGTAAATGAAAAAAAAAAAAAAAAAAAAAAAGACAGTAACTGACCAATATCTACATTTTTGGTGGGTAAAAGCACTGAACAGCTGGGCACGGTGGCTCACACCTATAATTCCAGCACTTTGGGAGGCTGAGGCGGGTGGATCATGAGATTAGGGGTTCGAGACCAGCCTGGCCAACATGGTGAAATCCCGTCTCTACTTAAAAATACAAAAATTAGCTGGGCTTGGTGGCATGCACCTGTAATCCTAGCTACTTGGAAGGCTGAGGCAGGAGAATTGCTTGAACCTGGGAGGCAGAGGTTGCGATGAGCTGAGCTGAGAGTGAGCTATTGCACTCCAGTCTGGGCGACATAGTGAGACTCTGTCTCAAAAAAAAAAAAAAAAAAGGCACTGAACAACTATTTATTAGACAGTGTTCATATCAAAAAATGTTTTCTTCCATAACTGATTTTGAAATGATTTAGTTTCTCATTGCTATCACATTATTATATAAACTGACAGTTAAAATACATTAAATTTGGAAAAGATGGACCATGATTTTATAACTGGTCTGAGGGATAAGAAATGGATTTATGTGCTCACCTGCATTTTGTGAAACTAGCCACAAATCAGAGGAATACAAACAGAATTATTTTGAAATAACTTATAAATATTATATACATTACTGTTTTTAAGAGGAAGTAATTTTCCAGCAGAAATGGCCAACAAGATTACCTGATATCTCCAATAAGCATGAATTGCATATCTATCTTGTACTGTGTTTATCTCCTAGAAACTGAAAAATGAGTAAATCAAAGATGCTGACACCAAGAGCTCACAGACTGCTTGGGAAAATAGAGAATAAATAGAAAATTATGGTACAACGTGATAAGTACTGTAATGAAGACACATAGTCAGAACTAGGGAGCAAGAGGAAGGAAGGAAGACTTTACAATGGGCTGGTCATGCCCTCTGTCTAGATCTGCTGGGGCAGGTGAAGTTTAACTTTTAAGTTGAGAGTTGAAGGATAAGTAAGAGTCCAAAAGGGCAGGTAAAGAGAATTAATTCGATGCTAAGAACCATCTATAGGAAGGCACTAGGGTAGAGAGTACAGTGCCTTCAGGTGTTAGGTACTTTACTATCATTAGGTTGGAGAGAGACAGTGACCAAAGATGTGGCTGGAAGTGTAGGTAGGGCTTAGATCTCCAAGGACATTTTAAAGCATGTCAAAGAGGTAGACTTTAACCTGCAGACCAATACTTCTTAAATTTTAATGTTTATATGACTCATTTGGGGATCTTGTTAAAACATAGATACTAGCTGGGCATGGTGGCTTGCACCTGTAGTCCCAGCTACTCAGGAGGCTGAGGCAGGAGGAGTCATTGAGCCCAGGAGTTTGAAGCTCTATTACACTATGATCATGCCTATCAACAGTCACTGCTCTCCAGCCTGGGCAGCATAGATACAGCCCAGGTGGGGCCTGAGTTGTCAGCTTTTCTAAAATACCCCAGATGATGTGCTGATACAATAAAGTTGGTCTGCAGACCATGTGTTAAGTAGCAACTATTTACAAATTACAAATTCCATTACCTGGAATGAATTCTATATACTAAGACATACCTTCAGCCCTTGAGAGGAACTGGGACATGATTCAACTAGAGCTTTCAGGATGGTGAATTTTGCCTATAAGTTGCCTCCTGGGTTTACTTCTGGTGTCCTACAAATGCAATAATTTTTTTCTACATGTTCTATGATATAAAGACAGTGGGGAAGCAATGTAACACAAATAATCCAGCCAGTGCTATAAGAACCACAATTTGGCTTTTTTGGTGGGGAGAGGATTGCAAACAGTCCCAGGTAACCAAAGCAGCTGTTATTCATCGTCAGCATGGCCCAGAGCCTTTTTCCCTCAGTAGTAATCATTTGGAGATTGAAATCTTGGCTCCAGTTCACCGCTGCAGTGGGACTTAATTCATGTCAGACTATGGTGCTTTCTGCAGCAGCCCAACTCTGTTGAGGCTCAAAGTCCAAACATTCTGTCATGCAGTGGCAACAAAGAAGTGGTAGAATTAAAAGATAAAACTCTTGCTCCATGGCCTTTCAGTTATTGTTTAATTATTTTTATGAGTTTATAAGTCATTTTGCCTAGTCACTCTTTAGCTCTTTTTCAAAATACAACAATTATTAACTTGGTCACTTTTCCTAATAACATATAGTAGGTATTTGGAATAGGAAAATGTCAGACTGTATCAAATCAAAGAAATTTGAATTTCTGTGCAGTTAGTCTTTAGGTTAACATTGTATATAACTATGTATGTATGAACATATTCACACATGAGGTTGTACCTGCAGGTCAATTTCTAGAAAAGAAACTGCTCACAGTTGTTGCCTCTGGAGAGGAGAAGTGGGAAATGGGAGAAGTGTCAGCTGTGGGAAGAGATCTTTTGGACAATAGTAGTGCTTTGATTTTGTTTTAATTTTTTTTCTAATATGATGGCTTTAAAAATACAAAATAAACAACTGTCTCAATGACTGAAAAGTATAATACTTGTAGGTTTGGGTAATATAATCCCTTTCCTCTGGGTCATCTAGTATTGAAACTCTTCTTATACTTTTTATGTGTTTAAGGGGAAAAGATTAATGTGTTTAGGTCTCCTAAAGTTTAAGCTCAGGTTGGTAAATTACCTAAAGCTTCTTAGTAAGAAAATCAATTTTTGAGATTAAAAAAAAATTCCCTGTAAGAATTTTTTTCAATTCTTTCCTCAGATGATGATTTTCGCCATCTCTTCCAACAATAGTAAAACATAAAATGAGATGCAGCATTAAAAAATGAAAAGAATTGGAAGGAAAGATGCTTGTTTTTAATGCAGTCAAGCATCCTAACTGATGCCCCTCTCTCCACCTTCTCTCTCTCTCAACTTTAATATCATAGAATGCTGAAGAAAGCACATTCCAGATACATGCTGCATAGACTAGTAACATTTAATGGATAACTTCCATTATGCTATTATAAATTTATAAGCATAGAAGAAGCATTATTATCTTCCATAAATTCTATGAGTATTAAACATTCAACAGTCATAACCCAGTTTGCAATCTCCTATGACTTAAATAAAATTTTATCTTAATAAATTTCAGTTAAAATAAATGGTAGATGAGAGGCAGGATTAGATTGCAGCTCCGAGTCAGACAGAGCAGCATGCAGAGGCTCTCATTGTGAATTTTAGCTCCAGAGTGACTGCAAGAATAAACTAGAAATCCAGAGAGGACCCACAGACCCTCTGAAGGAAGTGGACTGCTCCTGAAGGACCCAGGAGACACTCAAATACTATGCTGGTATTCATGGCTGAGAGACCCATAGATAGTTCACATCACAGGAATCTGTGCAGACTACCCCAAGTACCAGCCTGGAGCTGGGCAGACATGCTGCGTGGCTAGACCCAGGAGAGAGAACAATCACTGCTGCTCAGTTGACAGGAAGCCACATCAACAGGAGAAGGGGGAGAGTACTACATCAAGGGAACACCCCATGGGACAAAAGAATCTGAACAACATCCTTTAGCCCTAGACTTTCCCTCTGACACAGCCTACCCAAATAAGAAGGAAACAGAAAATCAACTCTGATAATGTGACAAAGCAAGGCTCTTTAATAACCCCTCAAAATCACACTAGCTTATCACTAATGGGTCCAAACCAAAAAGAAATCCCTGATTTACCTGAAAAAGAATTCAGGAGGTGAGTTATTAAGCTAATCCGGGAGTCATCAGAGAAAGGCAAAGTCCAATGCAAGGAAATCCAAAAACTGATACAAAAGGTGAAGGAAGAAATGTTGAAGGAAATAGCATAAATAAAAACTTTAGGAAACATTGGACACAGAAAAATGCAAAATGCTCTAAAAAGTCTTAGCAATAGAACTGAACAAGTAGAATAAAGAAATTCAGAGCTCAAAGACAAGATCTTCAAATTAACCCATTCCAACAAAGACAAAGAAGAAAGAATAAGAAAATATGAACAAGGCCTCCAAGAAGTCTGGGATTATGTTAAACAACCAAACTTAAAAATAATTGGTGTTCCTGAGAAAGAAGAGAAATCTAAAGGTTTGGAAAACATATTTGGGGAGATAAATGAGGGAAACTTTCCCAGCCTTGATAGAAACCTAGATGTTCAAATACAAGAAGCACAAAAAAGACGTGGGAAATTCATTGCAAAAGATCATTGCCTATGCACATTGTCATCAAGTTATCTAACGTTGAAACAAAGGAAAGAATCCTACGAGCTGTGACACAAAAGAACCACGTAACCTATAAAGGAAAACCTATCAGATTAATAGCAGATTTCTCAGCAGAAACCCTACAAGCTAGAAGGAATTGGCCCTATCTTCAGCCTCCTCAAATAAAACAACTATGAGCCAAGAATTTTGTATCCAGTGAAACTAAACATCATATATGAAGGAAGGATACAGTCTTTTTCAGACAAG